AGCACAGGCGGGGGTCCGTCCCCTGGGTGGACTTCGCCCTCGCGCTTACTGCACTTCGTGTACATCTCCATTTTTGAATCATGGAGATTGGACTCACCATTCATAAGAATGTCTTTGAAAGCACGTGAACTCTGCTTTGTTCACTCCTGAAATCAGCACTTAAAGAAGAGCACTCAAAATGCCATTGTTCAGGAAATATTTTCTAAGAATCAACCCTTCTTTTTGTTGCTGGTTCCTGCCGCAGTAAGTAGCATCTGTTAGTTGTACAGTTGCTGAGTGATTGGATTAGTGCGCGTGCCAGTTGGTCTCGGGGTTAGGCTTTCTAGGAAAGGAACCGATGAAGGTAGCTTAGACCTTAGACAGAAAGGGAAGTCAGGGCCTGGGTTTCATGAAGATGAAGGACAGGTGCAGCGGAGACAGAGTCAGGACAGGTATTCTGGTCTCAGGATGCAGGACAGAGGTGTCCGGAATCCCAGCAGTGCCGCAGCTCGCCTGCCGAGGTCTAGTAGCTGATGCTCTAGAGAAAGCACCCCAGTGATCAGGGCAGAAGCCACGCGGGTTGGCATTTGAGGCTGCCTGCTGCCAAAGTGACCAGCTCCCCCGACCCCCCCTGAGCAAAGCCCACTGTGAAGCAAGTCCAGCCCACACCTACAAAGTTAAGTGGGTTTTCAGTGCCTCACTTTTAAGCTTGAGTGGACAACCGGAGATGACCAGACAACTGAGAAAAGCCTCACATTGAAGGGAGTCCAAAGGGAAGAAGCACCAGAAAGGAGACAAAGATGATACAGGCCATTTAGAAAAACTCGGATATTGTCAGCTAGACCAGAGATAGATGCTTTTGCATCCACAGAACAAGAATTGTGTTATGTAAAAAGAGCAACCATAGAATGAACGTTGTCGACAATTTTAAACATCGTGGAGTCAGAAATTCCATCAGAGGGTTGGAAAACCGGTTGAGCCAAGCCACCCAGAAAGTGGAGAACTACGATAATAAAAAGAGCAGAAAACAAAAGATGAGTTGTAGATTATCAATCCAAGAGCTTCAGTATGTTGTCTTTTAGAAAACAGAAGATGTTTTTAAGAAAACAAAATGGAAAGAAGTGTCTATATTGAAAGCATCAGCCAAATGCTAGGCACAAATAATGGAGCAGAAAGCCGCTTGTGCACCCGCACGCTCGTCATGACACTTCAGAATTCCAGGGTTGAAGAGAGGCTTAGGGAAAAAATCACCTAAAAAGGCCCGATGATGTCAGGCTTCTCTCGAGTAGGTACCATGGCGCGGTGCCTTTGAAGATGATTTCCAACCTAGAAGTCTATATTCAGCCAAGTTGTCAGCGAAACAGAAAGGTAACCCAGAACAGTTTTTAGACTGCATGGTCTAAAAAAGTCCAGACGTCACCTGCCCACAAGTATCTTCCTTGAGAAGATACGTGAAGAGGTTTTCCAGCAAATTGAGAGCATAACTCAAGGAGGACAAGGGAAGTGGCGAGATGACTGACCTGCCAAGTTCAAGTCAACACCAGTGGTCGGCGGTGGGGTTTTGCTGAGGAGTTTGCACATGTGGTTGTTTCTGCCTGATCTGTAGTCTCCTCCTTCCCACTGACAGTCCAGGTCAGTCGGGCGGTGCAGTGATATGAAGAAGTTTATATGAAGAATAATTAAAATATAATACAAGAGTAAGTGTAGGCTCCAAAAAGACACACAAATGTCCAACAAGCATGTGAAGAGATGTTCAACAGTATCAGGGACGTGCAGCTCAAACCCACAGTGAGAGAGTGGTCAGATGAATAAGAACAAAACAGATGGTGCTTGGCCGGGGCGGGAGCAGGCGTGTGGTTCGGGCAGGTGGCCGTTGAACGGGGACAGTCTCGGTTCTGCAGGGTGAAAGGAGTCTGGGAGACTGTGCGGCGGGGTGAGCGCCACGCTCCTGACCTGGACACCACAGAGGGTTAAGACTGTAAATGTCACGTGTGTTTTGCCACAAGTAAAATTTCTTAAAATATAAACTAAGGAGAGGGTCTACTAGAAAACTGGAAGCAGAGTACAAGAGGAAAAGAAAAACCTTAGGAAGTATAGAAAAAAAAGAGCCACATGAGGAATTGAATGTAATCACAGCATGCCACCTGGCTCTGCAGTGAACATTTATATAATCTTTTTTTTTAAGATTTTACTTATTTATCTTTAGATGGGAAGGGAAGGACAGAGAGAGAAATACCAATGTGGTTGCCTCTCGTGCATCCCCTGCTGGGAACTGGCCTGCAACCCAGGCATGTGCCCTGACTGGGAATCGAACCGTGATCATGTGGTTCGCAGGCCCGCACTCAATCCACTGAGCTACACCAGCCAGGGCCATTTAATATGTTCTTTATAACACTTATATATAACACAAATGTTGTGATGTAAATGTTATAAGTAAATGTTTATGTATAAATGTAGCCTTTACATATAAATAAATAATGGCATTTAACAATGTAGCGGAAAGCCGTGCCGGGGTGAGGTAGGGTGCTGCAAGAACCAGATCCGCGTCCATCATTCTAGATGTGAAGTTGCTAATGACTCGACTCCGTAAGTCAGGAGATGGCAGTTCCGGCCTTGTTTGGAGACGCAGAGGGATGTGTCCCATACGGGAGTGAGTGATTGAGAAAGGATGCGGGAGAGAGGGAGCGAGACGCCCCCCTTTGCAAGGGTGCCTCCGTGGAGGGTCATGCAGAGGGCTGTTCTGAAAGAGCCGGGTGGCCACGTCTGCCTCTCCGTCCCGGAACAGGGAGCCTGTCTCGTCATTACAAGGCTTTTTTTTTTTTTTTTTTTTTTAAAAGATTTTAGTTATTTTTAGAGGGGAAAAGAGGGAGGTAGAGAGAGAGAAAAACATCAATGTGTGGTTGCCTCTTGTGCGCCCCCTACTGGGGACGTGGCCCACAACTCAGGCATGTGCCCTGACTGGGAATCGAACCGGCGACCCTTTGGTTCACAGGCTGGTGCTCAGTTCACTGAGCCACACCAGCTGGGGCTGTTACATAGCTTTAGATTGTGTGTGTTTTCTAGGAGCGTATATTACTTTACTGAGTAAAAAGGTGATTTGACGTTGGTGGTCTTAGTTATTCATGAAAAGTGGCAGAAACTGGGCACTGAGAGTTGGAAGGAGAGCAGATGACCGCTGGCTGGGGGACGGGACAGAGCTGCTGACGGCACACTTGGCACCGTGCTCTGCCACACGAGTGTGAACTCAGGCCGGAGCTCTTTATTTGGATGTTTCATTTTGCTGTTACAGTAAAACCTTAACAGTACTGCTGCGGGGGTAGCTGGCTTGGATTAATTTAATTTTCAGGGTAATAGAATTAAGCAAAAATCTTTTATTCCATCTATTGAATATCTGTTAACAACAAGCTGTACTTGCCTACTTTATTAAGTTTACTATCTGGAGATAATTCAAGGCTTTCGCGCCCTGCGGATGAAGACGGTGCAGCATTCGGGCGGACAGCCGCCTCTGCCTGGGTCTTACTTGCTCGCTTTTCCCCAGCGGCGTGGCTGGGGCTCGATGGCGATGGCGCCACCTCCGCGCTCACAGGGCTTGCCTGGCCCTTGAAAGAATGTTGTGAGTGCAGATTTCTTAGTGAAAACGTTCCCAGAAAGTGTCACCTGTGAATCATGTTTTCCAAACTCGATAAATGAATGTATGGCCCTTCTTTAAACGTAGTTTTTCTCAACCTTGGCTGAGCACTGGAGGCCTTAAAAAGGGCTGATGCCCGAGTCCCACCCCAGAGGGCTCCTGAAGAGGTCGGCAGCCGTGGCGCCGGAAGCTGTCGAAGCTTCCCAGGGGATTCTGATGAGCAGCAGCAAGCTGGAGGACCGCGATTTCACAGGAAGAATGTTCTCTGAGCACACCCCCGTGTTGATTTAAATTACTTTTTTTCAGATAGTGTTTAAATATGTACAGACTGACCCTAGGTTGAAATATCTCGTGCATGTCGTTGTACATAAAACATGTTTACAAGTGAAAAACAAACTGCAAAATGAGCAGATTCGAACCAAGCGTTGATGGGCGGGTAGCGATGCCTGCGGGGCTTCCGTGCGTGTGCACCTGCTACTTCATCCGTGAACCCCCCACGTGTCTGTCCGGCTCCAGCTGAGAGCCGGCGGCCATGCAGTGGGACAAGCAGAGAAGGTGTATCATAAAGAATACTGAGCCTTGGGTGAAAGAGCAACTGTAGAAAACCACGGCACTGGGGCCGAGGGGCCGAGGGAGAGGACCCGAGGAGGACTCCCTGGGAGAGTGCCGTCCTCAAGGCCGGGGTCACCCCAAGGAGAAGGTGTAGCTGCAGCCCACTGGGTGGCAGAGTGTTCCCTGGAGCACAGCCGGTAGCCAGTGGCACAGGCTCACAGGAAGTGGGGGCCCTGGTAGCAAACTGCACCCACATGGCTGTGCTGGCGGCTGTGCAGAGGGAGCCGGGGGTGTTCCTGCGGCAGACATGGAGCATGCGGTGTCTAGTTGGGAGAGCCATGTCATGGGGAGGACCATGAGGGACAAATGTCAGGGTGGGACAAGCAGCAAGAGGCCTTGGAGCACACAGTGTGTGTTGAAAGGGTCGCACCTCCAAAGAGTCGGACTCGGTTGGGCTGGGCCGGGACCCAGGGATCTGTATGGTCAGTAAGCGCCCCCACGATTCTGAGGACTGTGGTCCCGGAGACAACACTGAAGGGTGACAATACCCGGACCTGAGGCTGGACTGTAGGGACCGTGTCTTACACCTTTTGTGCCCTCATGGCCTGAGGAGGGGCTGCTGTTCGGGAGGGGGCTGAACAGATGCCCAGCAAGCCCCTCCAGAGGCGGGCGCCTTGGTGTCGTGCCACAGGCCTGGTCCAGCGGGGACACGTCCACGCCGAACGCCTCTTCTCAAAGGGTCCTGTGCCACACGGGCAACACTGCTCCCTGAAGACCCTCTTGTTTGTTTTTTTATTTAAGATGGACTTGTACTAATATCACTTTTCTTTGTATTTATTAGGGAGAAAGAACAAGAAACACAAAAAGAGGAACGTTTGATGGAAGAAAAGAAAAAGAAAAAGCAGGAAGAGAAGAAAAAGAAGGAAGGAGCTCAGAAAAAGGTTCGGCTCGAGCTACTCCTTCCTCGTCTGTGTACGTGTGTGTCTCGCCTGCGTTATCATGGCCGTTCCGTCACAGAATCTCATTTCATCACTTTAAAAGATCAATATGCTAAATCTGTAATTAGCAAAAAACAGATATTGTGCTGGTGAAACAAATACAGGGTGACAGCAGCAAAATGTCTTTTTCTTTAAGGACCTAGAAATACTAGAGCTGTGTTTTAAAGAAGTTTGCTTTTGGCTTTGGTGGCGGAGGGCTCACTGTCCACTTCGGTAAACTGCCCAGAAATGAGAAGAGGGCCGTTCAGCTGAGTTGATTAGAAAGCAACAAATAATTGTAACTTTGGCAGATGTTCTTCTACAAATCCAATTAGTAAATATTAAACATCATAAGTCCTTAGCCTTATAGTCATGCTTGAGTTTTCTGGCATTTAATATACCAAGTTATGCCACTTGTTTTTGCTCTCACCTGGTTTAATATATCTTGTAGTTTAAACTGTATACCTTTTAGACTTTATTAAAATACAGAGCTCATGTGAGCGCCCAGATATATTTGTCTTCAGATCAATATAGGCATATAGTTAATAGCATGTAGACAATTAGACATTATTCCCAGAATTACAATAAATTTTAAAAAGTGAACTGGGCAAGAACTTGTTTTTAAAATTTTCTATTAAAGTCTACTTATAAACTTTCATAGTTGTGTACGCTCTACACATTATTCCTAAAGAGTTTCTAATTTTTTTTTCAGGCTGCTGATCAAAAAACCAAAGGTAAGTTTATTTTATTTGTGGGGGGCACATTTTATGGCAGTACCAAACTTCTTATGATAAAGATGACTGTTTCTTTTATTGGTGGTTAGAAACAAAGACTCTAACTCTGCCTCCCAATCTCCTTTTTGTTACTCACCATGAGATTCCTCCTTTGTCACTGGTTTGACGTCGCGTCTTGGTGGCATTTGTTTGACGATCTGAACACCCACAGAACCGAGTCAGCTTCTGGACAGTGCTTTACACTCTTCCCAGATTGATTTCTGCCCCACAAGGATCGAACTGGTACATCTCTTCAGTTTGATTAGGAACAACCAAAGGATCCTGAGTCCTTTTAAAGCTTCTAGTTTGTCTATGCCAGCTATAAATAACAAGAAGAGCTATGTTCTTTCTGCATTCTCTCTTTGCGCATTCACGTGTAAGATTTCCTTTATTCTCCAAGTCCAGAATTTGCTTGTTTTTGTCTTAATGGGTGTCACTGGGAACACTCGGGAGGGACGATCTCTGTCGCTCAGGCGTCCCTGAGATCTCATCTCAGCGCCGAGCCACCTGGAAGCGCCTCTTCATTTTGCACTTGACGTGAGGAGAGGGGCACTTGCTCCATTTCTTTAAGCCTCCCTGTTTCAAAAGGGAAAGGCAATGGAGGAGCAGCTCCCCGTCTTGCGGCTGCCGCAAACACAAACGAGCGCAAACGAGATCTCGCGGGGACAGGCAGAGCGCCTTGCATGTGGTGGTGCTCAGTAGAGGGTGGCCGCAACCTGCTGTGTTATTTTGGAGCTTTTATCGCCACTGGACCATCATTTGCACCCAGTTGCACACGCAGGCACATGTGCTGTGGAGAGCTCCCTGAGGTGTGGTCTCGGGCCAAACCCCTGCCCATGCTTGACTCTCGTGTGGCATTTTACAGTGTTCAAAGTGAGGTTTATGTTTCTTCTCTCACTTGAACTTCATAAGTGGGCACAGCAGATGTTAGTTTGCATTGCAGACACCGAGGCTGAGAGCATGAGTTCAGTGGCTTGCTCTTGGCTGGGCAGTTAGTGTGAGGAAGGGTCTCGGGGGTCCGGCTCCTGGCCCCGTGAGGGCCCCGACCCGTCCGCCTGGGCTGCACCGAGAGACAAGCGCACAGAACGCGAGTCGTCAGGAAGGACACGCCTGTCCTGTGCTCTCGGAAGCGGTGCGAGTTTGTATAACGCCTCTCACGCGGGTCCGGGGGCTGTGGTGTGGGGTTGCATTTGAATTTATGATCTTGAATAGGAAACAATGGTTTCTTTTAATAGTCATTTAAAAGTACAGAGTTATTGCTCTGAATCATCCGTTTCCTTCTATTTTTTTTTAACATTTGAGAAGTTTTTACAACCTGATTTGGTACCAGCTATATTCCATTGTCATTGTCATTGAAGTTATTTTCACTTCAAATAGCGACGGTTGCTCACGGTCCCGTCGCCGTCCCCACTGTTGTTTTCTGCTCTGACTTCCGTCCTCACCGCCGACCCCGGAACCCACCGGGCCCTCACCTTCCCCTTTTGTCTTCCCGAACCACTGCTCCTTGGGGTGCAATTTGTCGGCGACCCTACTAACTATAGCCTCAGAACAGATCGTAGTGACCATTGTAATGTCCTTCTGAACAAAAACAGTGCTTTTCGAATTATAAATAATTAACAGTGCGGCCACCCAACTCATTCGTGTACAGCTTTCTCAACCTCTCCATCGCCGCAGTTCGCATGAAAGCGCACTGCCTGCTGTCCGGTGGCCCGAATCTCTGGCTGAGTGCCTTGGACCCCACGTGCGGGCCTGGGGGACACGAGCCGGACGGCGGGGCCAGGGCTCCCACACATCACGGGCACCGCCCTTGGGTGGGCTCTGCTCCTCTGGGCTGCGCGGGCGGAGGCGGAGCTGCCTGGCGCCCAGCGCAGTCATTAGGCTGGCCGGTGCCTTCAGCCAGTCTTCACAGTGTTAATTATACTTAAAAAGTTTTTAGTTTCTGCAGTAACCATTAAACTTGAACAGTGAATCTCCTTTTAAAAGACGAGTGCAGAACAAATCCCACTAGAAATTTCTTTTGTGGTGAGTTTACTCTAATGCAGTGTGCTTCCCGTTCCCATCCTGGAATCTTACAGTTTCGGCCCTGATTGTTTTTCAAATCCCAGAGTGGGATTTCTTTGGTGAGGTCGTTTTTCTTCTTGTTACGAGATGCAGGCCGGTTGAGCAAGTGTGGTTGAGGCGCTGCACTGCCAGCATCTACCCGCAGCACCCCGCCCTGGCGTCCGCCGCGGGCCTGTCTCCCCAGCCGCAGATGCTTTGGGTGGTTGTTGCTCCGTCAACTTTCCTTATATTCATTCCCCTGTGATGAAAACACAGGGAACACGGTCGTGATGAAAATAACGAGCACTGTCTAAAGTGTAGTTGGGCCACTCAGAGCCCTTCTCCTGAGATGCTTCCCAGCGCCTGCTGTTGCCTGTCCGTGAATGCGTCTCTGTGAACGCGCACACGCAGAGCTGCTTCCCACGGCTGACGCCCTGCCACCTGCCCTCCAGGACCACACTGAGCCGCTGAGAGCCGGTTCACACACAAGGTAGTCCCTGCGAGTCCCCCACACCGTGTCTTCGCCTGGTGACTGAAGGCAGGGCCAGCTGCACACACGCATGCTTACCTGTGACGCCTTCGGGAGACCCTGGCGCTCTCACACCGGGGTAGGGGCCTCGGATGTGTCCCACTGCATGATGGTGTCACCTTGAGCGCTGTGGCTCTGCAGGGGCGTCCCTCAGGTCTGTCGCGTCCGGTCGTCGGTGTTCATGCGAGACGCCACCCTGAGTTCAGTCACAGGCAGTAGCTCTACCTGTGATGTGACGGCTTTATGACCCTAATTTTTCTATTTGTTGTTAAGGACTAACTATAATACTATTCATAAATATGAAGTGAGCTGAATTTGGTGATTTTCAGCTGTATTTTCTGAAGTTCATAAAATAGAAAAATTTTCATATAAAAAGCTGAAAGTAAATTATTTTATGTGTGAAAGTGAAAGTGTTAATGACCTGATGTGGCTCACTCCATATAATTAATGTTTTATGATTTTAGGCCAGCCATGTACTTTCATAAATTCATACATTTTAACCAGTTGCCTAATCTTGCTGGAAAGAACTACAGATTTTTCATTCAAGTGTTCAGCTTTGCCAGGCCTTCCTTGTAATTGTTAATCCTAAGAAGACTCTGCGTGCTTTCGTTTGTGTAAATGAGCTGAAACCACATTCTGACGGTGAACGACAGGGTTCGGGGCTCCCGCATCCCGGGCACTGTGCCGGACTCCTGTTGAGGCCCGTTCTGAACTTACCTTTCATGAAGCCTTTTCTGCACGTGAATGAGTCGTGGCGACATGGACTTGTAAAGCAGGCTGCCCTAGTCGGAGACGGGCAGAAACCTGCGTCCCTGCGCCTCTCCAGTTAAGTGGCATTTCCGCGGGGCTGAGGCAGGGGGTTGCGATTCATTGGTATCTCAGGGTCTCAACACAATAAACAGCAAATAGTATTTACAAGGTAGCAGATCGTACAGTGTGTATGAAAACTGGCCAGATTCCTTCAATTTACATGTATTCATGTTCATATAAAGCAAATTACTATTTCGAGTGGATGAGTTACTCTTAAAGGCAACTCTAGTCAGCATGCTCAGCACAGTGTTTTATAGAACATGGCATTTTATTTGCCTGTCTATAAAATTAATAAAATCTTAGAGCTTGAAGGATCCTTAGAGATTATCCAGTTCCTGTGTTGGATAGGAAATGAGATTCACAGAGGTTAAGTGATTTGTATAAGTTTTGACAGCTAGTTTGTCCAAACTAGAACTAGAACCCTTATCTTCTGGTTGTCAATTATATATTTTTTCTGCTATCATTTTAAGAAGTAACTTATGATCTTTTCAAATAAGGCTGGAAGAAATTCCTAGGAGTCAAATTTTACACGAGACCTCTGCGGGATGGCATCTTACTGGGACCTTCAGTGTTCGACCTGCCTTTAGCCGTGTCGCTCTGTGTGGGGCGCAGCCGCGCACTGTGTAAGAGCGGTTCGGTCGTTGACGCACCATGTATGTGACGGTGGCCCCGTAAGGTTACAGTGGAGCTGAGACGTTCTGTTGCCTGGTGCCACAGCCGTCCGAGGGTCGTGGTGCACACGTTGCTGCCTGCCCGAGGCGGCGCTGCTGTGAACACACCCACTGCTCTGCCGGGCGTGCCGAAGCGCAGCT